CCAGCACATTTGTGCGGTTAGGCAGGACCCTAAATTAATCTCCAGGAATAAACAAGAGCAGCAAGTCACAAGGAGCTGGGGGGCGGGGATGATGAGCTTTGCTGCAGGCGGGCCTGTCACTCCAAGCTGACAGCAAGCACCTTCACCTTCAAGTTCTTTAAAAAGGCAGCGCACTCCAGACAAAATGCTTAGCTCGAGGGAAATGAACCCTCGAGGCTGAGAAGCTAAAGCAGAGAAGAAAGGGGGCGGCTGGCTGCCCTGCGGAGCACCTGCCCCCGGCAGCACTTCCAGGCCCCGCGCGGCGCTGGGCTGAGGGCCGAGGAGACGGGCTCGCGCTACCTGGCGTCCGGCTCCTCCTCCGACTCCGCCGCTGTCTCGTCCTCCTCGCCCTCCGACTCCTCGGTCTCCAGCCCCCGGGTCGCCTCCTCGTCCCCGTCGGAGCCGAGGAAGCTCTCGGTAGCGTGGTTGCTGTCGCTGCTCGCCATCGCGCCTCTCCCGGGCCGGAGCCGGAGCCGAGCCGAGCCGCCCGCGCCGCGCCTGGTGTTCTCCCTCTGACTGCTCTGGCCCGGCCTGCCCGGCCCTCCCCTGCCCTGCCGGGCGGCTCGGGTTCCCGCCCCGGGCTGGCGAACGCGGCGACTTTAAATAGAAGGCGTCAAATGTTTCGCCACCCGGCTTCTGGGGCCCGGGCTCAGCTTCTCCTCTTCTCCGCGCGTCTGCCAACTTCCCCCAGGCCTCTCCCGCCCCGGTTTTGGCGGATCCCTGGCGGGCCTTTTGGGCAACTGGAGATCACTTTAAGGGGCGCGGGCTTCGGCTGCACCAGGGGATTCAAAGGAGGAAAGGCACCCTAGCCCCGCAGTCTTTCCTCCGCAGTGAGTGTAGCAGGTTTTATGTTTCGAGCTTAGCTACTTGATAGGCCCTTTATCCCAACCAAACAATAACTACATCCTGAGCAGAGCACTGACTAGTATCAGGCAGTCAGAGGAGCTCGCTTTCATTACCTCCTCAGTTCTGCGGGTACCTGCAGTAGGTTTTACTGTAGTGCCTGTTTCTTAGGTGGGGAAACTGAGGCTCAGAAGAGCTCCAGTAGCTTGCTGAAGGTCTCATTGCTAGCAAAGCGACCCAATGGGAAACAAAGCTAGGTCTGCCCTATTCAAAAGCCCAACTTTGAACCACTTCAGCATTGGCTCCCTTTGTATTTGTAAGTCAATAAATTGTGTATTCTCTTCCTCAGAGGCCCCTGATTGTTCAGTCAGGAAACTTTATCTCCACTCATCTTAAACCTAAGGAGGAAGTTTTCTCCACATTAGCCAAAGGCTATGTTTTGTCTGAAACTTGGCCCAAAGGCCCCAGATTTTCCCTGGATCATATCCAGACTTTCCCTGGACGTATCAAACGGGTGCCTAAAATCCCTCAATGACTTTCCATGCTCAAGGACCAAAGGCCAATACCCTTAGGAAGATAAATGTTGCCTAACAGGTCACATTTTACCCATCTGGTGTCTTTCCCAACATCGTATCGGATTACTCCAGTGTCTCTATTTACACAATTCCTTGTGCCTGAAAGGTTCTTTCCATCTTTATTTACCTGGCTGCCCATCATTCAAGATTACCACCTTTCTCTGAAATCCCCAGGTTAAACTCGGTACCCCTTTTTTGGGTTCCCACATCATCCTATATTCCAACTGTGTTTGTATCTCTTTCCTCAGATTTTGTAATTTTATATTACTCATCTTTGTCCCACCACCCCCATCCCTTACCAGCCTATAAACTAGCAAATGACCTAGCATGTAGCAGGTACTTATAATGAATGCTCCCTGAAGGGACCCGCACCAGACCTGATGAGTACATACAAGTCAATGTATCTTTACAATACATAAAGATCTTCATTTCCTGACAATGATTTTATAGCTAAAACAGTGAACATCTATTTTTAATTACAGCACATCCTATTCACAGAGTTGTTAAGTATGATGAATGTAGGCTGGGTATTATTTACCACTTACACTAGCTCGTATGCACAGGCCTACAAGGAGCAAATTGTAGATAGTTCAGACAGTACAGAAGCATCAGATAGTGGGGCATAAGAAGTGAAAACAGCAGAGTCCAGCCTTCCAGAGTTCACTAAACCAGGTTTAACATCAGCAATATTTATTCTCTTAACACCAGCTAGGCTTTTTCCATTAATAAATCCCAAATGACCTTGCCACATAGGACAAAAAGAATTCAATCACAGCTGGGGGAATCTGTTAAACACTAATCAGAACTACAGGTAGCCATTCTATATTTCTTCCATTTAACTCAAAATTTCCTAGGAACACTAAAGTCTACAAGATTTGCAAAGATCCTAGTTTGAATCAATACAAAATTTATAACTGCAGTACAGATTGCACATTTTTAAAACTAACATAACTTTGAGTAACAACATATGCAAATACAGTTGGCCCTCTGTATCTGTGGGTTCTGAATCTATGGATTCAACCAACAAAGGACAGAAAATACTTGAGGGGGGGTTGTTGCATCTATACATGTATAGACTTGTTTTCTTGTCATTATTCCCTAAACAATACAGTATAACAACTATTTACATAGCATTTACACTGTATTAGGTATAAGTAATCTAGAGATGATTTAAAGTACATAGCAGTATATTTTAAATGCAAATACTATACCATTTTATATAAGGGACTGAGCATCTGTGGATTTTGGTATCTGCAGGGATGGGGGTTGGGGGTCTCCTGGAACCAATCCCCCATGTATACTGAGGGACAACTGTATATAGAAATGGACAGGCCAGACATGGTGGCTCACACCTGGATCGGGTGTGGTGCAACATGCCTGTAATCCCAGCTACTCAGGAGGCTGAGGCAGGAAGATCGCTTGAGCCTAGGAGTTCGAGGCTGCAGTGAGCTATGATTATGTTACTGCACTCCAGCCTGAGAGACAGAGCCAGAAAGCAAAATCCTATCTCAAAAAGAAAAAAAAAAGGAAAAGCAAAAGATCAAAATAGAAAATAAAGAATTTAGTATTCACCACACAATTAAATAATTGAGATTGAAAATAACTTAAATGTCTAAAAAATTTTTTCATATGTTAACAGCTCACTTATCTGACATATATGGCCCTTCATAAGGTGCATTTTAGGCTTTAGTCTACTGATTTAGAATTAAATCTAAATTTAAGTTTAGTATCTTCTTGATCTATTTGTTACAGTAAAACAGCAGAAAAGAAGCAGTAGCAAGGGTGGATCACTGAAAGCTGAGAAAACAGTGGCAGTGAAGGAGTCTCTGGGGCTTTATTAGGAAATGTCCTAATACTATAGTGGCAGAGTGCCCCACACACTTACCCATCCCTGAGAGTTGCACAGCATTACTGAATAGTTCTATGACTAATGTTTATAATGATTACCCAGAATATCACTAGAATAGTAATTCTACTCAATATATTCTGATAAAGAACTGCAGAGTGTATAATAAATTTTAAGAAAATTTCTAAGAAAATGAATATAAAAAGCTTAAGTGCATTAAAAGTGTTACACATCAGTAATCTAAAAAATTCACCTATGTGGAAAGCTTCATTCTAGTAAGGCCAGAGAAATAAGTATTGACGTAGTTAGCTGGCTTAACCACAAATGAACTTGATTCCAAGATTCTCTGTAATCTCTAAATAATCAAGTGTAATAATTAGATTCAGTTCAGTTCTAGATAACTACAATCTCATCTCAAAAGTAAGACTTTCACAGAAAAAAACAACACTTCAACAATTTCCGTATATAAACTTTATTCCATTTGACATCATACAAAAATTTAAACAAAGAAGAAAATCAAAATGTGGACCTTTTACAAATCAAAGAAAAGCAAAAGTTTTAGCATCTGAATTGGTTTGCAAAAAAAAAAAATACATTAGAGGTACAAACTGTACTACAGCAGGTCTAAAAGAAGTTGTACATAAACCTTTTGAAAAAGTTAAAACTGTTTTCAAGATTACTTTTTATATTTAAATTTACAGGTACTGACCAATTTACAAATATTTACATAAGTCAGAAACAACTTTCACCAACACTGTAGTTTTAGCAGCCACCACTATGTCTTTCATGTGGAAAAGAAATACTAAAAAAGATAATTTTACAAATACTAAGTTTTTATTTATAATAATTTTATTGTGTCTTATCTAAAACATTTTATAGTGGCTTACTGCCTAAAAATTCCAGTTTAGATTACAATCCTATAATTGTACACAGAAAAAAAATCTGATACTACAAACAGGATATAATCCTAACTCTGACCTTCAGTTTGTTGTCTCATGTCACAGGGAAAATAGAGCAGGAAACAGGAAGTAAAGCAAAAGTGCACATTGCACTAAGCTATCATAAAGCACAGGAGACTTAATCTATTCAAAATGTCTACAATGAACTGATTCTTTAAAACAATTCACTAACTGCTGTAATAGTTAGTGCTCCTATTACTACAGTGCAAAATGTATTGTTGTTTCAATATAAAATTTAAAGCAATCTCAAGAGTACATCAAAAGCATGTGAAGTACTAATGAAATGCTAATACAAACACACCCAAAGCCTCAGTCTATCCCAGTGAGTCAAGTGAAGACTGAAGGCAATTGTCCAGTATTTCATGACTCTGCAGTGATTTCACTGAAATAAGAGATTTCATTTTGCTTCAAGTAACTGAATAACTGACTTGAATCTTCACTTTACTAGAACAGACTAAGACAAAAAACTATCTACTATAGGTTATACTTTAAGCATGTATGAATTAGATCCTTTCCAAAATTCCACCTGTCACTATGTGATACAATTAATTGAAGTTATATCAAAAACCTTTTATTTGTTCAGGTAATTTCTCAAAATATATTTATCTGATCTCCTGAAAATTCATGCCATAATACTACTAATCATCAATGTAAACCTTTTCAAAAATACAATTTTAAATCAAAGGGTTTTATTAGGAAATGTCATAATAAAATATGCAATCTTTATATAAGTATGTCTTTTTAAAAATAAAACATGAAAACAAGAAGAACAATGAAAAAGAAACCATGATGGAGGTAAACAAAATGCATTATAATGTAACTATGATTCCTTATTTCTTGGAAGAATTATTAAGAAATAGAGGCCAGTTATCTTTTCAGGATAGCAGTTCTTAAAGGTAGTATACTGTTCAAATCTCGTTTGTTTTTCAACCTGTGCCATGACTGGGAGAGAAAGAAAAATCATCCTTAAAACCTAAAATATATGCAGAACAGAAGACTGAAAGAATTTAAAAGAATGTTAACAATGGTTCTCTCTGGGTGATAAAATTTTGGATAATTTTTTTCTTCTTTGAGTTTTTACTTC